CTTTCGGCATCTAGTGTGCCATAGCTCAGTTCAATGTGTTGTGGGGTACTCTTCTATTTAGGCAGCTGCCCAATGGGAGAGTAAAATCGTTGCAGCTGCATGAATAAAGTTGGGGCGTGGCGTTGATAGCTTAATTTGCCACTAATTTGTGCTTATCAGCAATTGCGGCGCGTTGTGAGTCATTGGAGGCGTGAAGTCGGGCCCAGGGTCCGGGCTCGCACCTCGCATAGCTTGCAACGTTTTTACACACGAGTTTGCATATTTCAGCACGCTTTGTTGCATGAATGAATGCACACAGACCCCGACAGTGCGGCCGAGGGAGGGGCACGGGCTGGAGTAGACCGGGAAGTTGCGGACCTGGGAAACTTGGCGAGGCTTGCCAAACACCGGAGCATGCAAATCGGTTTAGTGCCGCATGTATCGCCCGTTTATGGGAAATTGCTGTGCGAGAGCAGGCACAGCGTTCGAACAATTGGCATTCCAATTGCGAGTGAGCCGACACACATATCGTTCAGATTTTGCCCGATAAGTACCGGTAAGCTTGTGTTCATTGTGGAAAGGGTACACTCTGTTTTATAAACTGTAAGCGAAGTGTAAAAAGGGTGTTCTTGATTTGTACAAACTATGTTACACGGAGAAGAAAGCATATCCAGCCTCATGAAGGCTGGTTATCTTCTAACTTGGAATGTAGACTCTTCTAATAACCAGGCAACACACATTTATTTAATTATGTTATTCTAATATTTTCCCTCCTTCCCACGCCTGAGAATTTCGTCAATACTGCCCATAATTGCAAAGCTACATAAATTATAATTTATAACTTATTCATATAGGGTTCAGTTTAAGAACAGTTGTTAGAAGGAGAAGGTTCACTATTCTTCAAATGCTTCCAGTCAGCTTCTGTAGCTGTTTAGGAACAGAAAATTTCATTTGTAGCTGACTGTTTTTATAAAGAAAAGTCTTCACAAGATTGCAACAATTATTTGAGTTTGTTCACCAAACTGAATATTTGGAGTAGAGTTTGGCAAAAGGTAAGCAAATTACCCTGATTTTTAAACTCAGGCTAAAACAATCTCTCAGCGATCCATAAAACTGCTGGGGTTTTTATTTTATTTTACTGCTAAGGATAGGAAAGATGCAACAAAGCACTCCTGTCAATTAACAAGTTACTCTAAAATGTGCCTCAAATATTTGACTAGCACAGCATTTGATTTCTCCATCATGGAGGCATACTTTTCTCTTCAAATTAAGGGCAATAATTGTGAAACAAATAATGGAAGGGGTCACAAAATATTAAAATCAATTGTATGAAGTTAATAAGTTATAGCCTTTGTTCAAAATTATTGGGAAATATGGAATGGGATCATAATCGAGTAGTTAAATAGAAACTCTTACAAACAGTTATAAGTTACTTTGTTCGGGAGGGTCTGTTATAAATACGATTTTTTTGAGCGCATGCTTAAATTATTTACTGGAAAGTTCAGGATATATTGTTTTCGTGGTGGGTGTGTAAGTCCGACCAGATGACACACGTGATCAGAATGACGAGGCGAATCCAAATCATGATGACTGCCAGGGCGTGCGTCTATTTGTCTATTTTAATCACTACCCCATCCATACTTTGAAGTCTATCGTGTAAATAAAAGATGTGACAGACACCGATAATATGTTGCGACTGATACTGCCCGATCGCGTTATCATATAGCTGCTATATGCCAACGATATAATTTAGGAAGTCGAGCGACTCAACGTCTAAGCGCGTTGTGTATAATAATTGGATATCTTAGTAATAACATAATTATTTGGGCTTAGCCGAGCCTTATTTTTGGTACCTGAGTGACGTTGAAACTCCAGCTTGCTTCCTTTAATATGTAAGCGTTCTAGAATCTATGAAGGTATTTAATAATAATTTAATGTTTTCAATGAAAACAGACATGATTTGATTACTGACTAGCAGCCGAAACAGTCGGAAATTAATTAAACTGAAGCACATTGCAGAGTAATTGAATAGAGCTGCATGGAACAAATTTGAGACGACACTCCCGAACTAGCCGCACCCTACAGTGCCCTAAGCCTGCATAAACAGACATGCCACATAATAAAGCAATAAAAGAGGAGGGCGGCGAGCAACTAAAGAGCCGCAAATGAGGCAGACAACGCAGGTAGACTGTGTGCTGGTCTTATTTTTATTTCTGACAGCAGCTCTAATTTATCATCAAAGAGCAGACGACTACGATGAGGACGATGCACAAAGGACTGACTCAGAAGGACAGCTGGCTGACTGACTGGCTGACTGGCTTCCTGACCGGGTCATGGTGGTTGGTCAAGCTGCGGGCAACAGACAGCGCCCAGGTAGTCGAAATAGTTTATGACTAAATTGAAGCAGGTTGTTGTTTTCCTTTCTGAGCCGGTGGCTTACAGATAGTACAGGAAGTATTTGTCTTAAGCTATCAAAGTACTTTCCAATGAAAAACGCCCGCCGCCCTCGCCTGCATCGCCAGCTTGTCAATCACTCGCGCGTCAAAGGCGAACACTTGAAAATTATACGAGTATTGTACAAAACAAAAGATGTGGGGCACGGGCATGCAAAATTGGCGCAGAGTGCAGCTCAAGTGACTTGATGGCGTCCTTTAATGTCAACCACTATCTGTTTACACAACAACAGCAATAACATTGGCAGCTCGAGATCAAAGGAAAACGCCTGTCCTAACACGCTCAGCGCCACTTAGACGCACTCCCCGCTCTTTATTCAGAAACACTTAAGGGTCTTAGTCTGCCTCGTTCTTGAACTCGAGCACCGAAAACACTTATCCTTTTTGGCTTATCTCACTTACAAGTAATTGTAATATTATCCCTAATAAGCAAAAGATTGATAGCATTCTTGGGAAAACAGTCAACTGCAACTCTCTCTTTTTCGCTTCAACCGCGGACACGCGCACCACCAAGGGAGTCCTAAAAGGCAGGCAAAATATTATGTGGAATAGATACAAAGGCAGGCGGTTCGCCGACTGGCTGCAATCACAGGCTCGGCTTCGGTACCTCGATGCCAGCCAAAGGACACACATTGCTGGGCTTTGTTGTTGCTATTGCTATCTATTAGTTTGCCTTCCTGGACTTCCTAGACTAGCCGCGCGGCCGGTCGCCTCCCTCATCATCACTTGAGTAAACAATGTCATAAAATCATCAATCAAGTGTGCGGCGGCTGGCCATATTTTTCTTGGCTGCTGGACGCTGTGCCGTTTGTTGTTCTAGACTTAGACGATTTGTTTGCTTGCCTGCCCGAATAACTGACTAACTGACTGACTGACTGACTGACTGACTGACTGGCTGGCTGGCTGGCTGAGTGGTTGAACCAACTGTGAAGCAAACAAACACACGGCACCACCAGAGCCTGGCTGCTAATACAATTAAGTGCGATATTTGTTGTCGGCTCTTTATGCGCCTGCTAAATTGTTTTACGGGCGTGCCGTTGTTTTGTCATTGAGCCCTGCGAGGATATGGATGGTATTGTTATTAAGATACTCCTAAGTGTCAACGTCTTGCCGTGCATATTATCTGATTAATACAAGTATAACCTGTGTCCAATGGGCAAAAGGTAAGGCAAATATGGAAACGTATTTAAATATATTCACGATCAGCATGAGGAGACAAGTGGATATTGCAATGTCTGTTTATCCGTCTTTATAAACCTAAAGATCTCGAAAAGTATAAGAGAATGATTAAGTATAAGAGTATAACCTGGTTCGATTAATTACTTTTAATCATTTAATAATATTCAATTCCGATTGCGGGTTAAGCTCCAAAAATGAAATGAAACGTGAAACTAAATGTAATTATATTATATGTATATTATATTTTTATAATATATAATTATATTATATATTACTCTGTGTGGCCACATTCATCTAAATTCCCAAAGAAAGCTAAGGACTTCTTTTTCAGATTCATCGGGTGGTTTTACGAATCCATAATGAATTGTGACACCAATTATTGACTCTGACGTATTGTTTAAAAAAAAATTGATGATAAACTATGATTTTTTCATCTTCCACCTACTAACTATTGCTTATTTTTATTAATTGCTTGCTTGTATTTATTTAAATACAATTATTTAAATACAATCAGTAAGAGATGGCAGAATAAAATAATCTTAGACTTTCAACCAAAGTTTTCAAAGTTAATTTAAAATGTTTGCGGTACTTGGTTTAGTTGGTGCTTCTAGTGGATTTCTTTAAACACAATTTTTACGAAGTTGTTGTGTGGAGGATAATTACATTTAATTTGTGTAATAATATTATATACATACATACTATAATTTATATATACAAGTACTACAACTTTTATGAAAGAGTGAAATTCGTTCAATATCTTAAACCAGAAGTTTATTATAAATGCTTGCAGTACTTCCCCAACGTTTATTCGGGTATTAGTGTTGAAGCTGCTTCTATTTTTTAACAATTTTTATTTGGTGTGGTGTAGAACCTATATTCTGTATATTATATGTGTAACAATATAATATAATTATTATAAAATGTCTCTAGCAGCTGAGTAAATAACATAACATAATTGCGCATTTCCCCTTTTGTCTCTTCGGGTGCAGGCTATAAATATATTCAATAACTTCGTTTTTTTTTTTTGTTATTAAGGTTGAAATATTGGAGTCCTCGTCAAACTTGTTCGAACGCGTTCGTGTTGCAGGTACTACTAGAATGTTAGGCAACCTAACAGCGCTGTTCATATTAACAGCGTATAAGAGTGCAGTACAGAGCGCAAAACACGATTTTTCGACAGAGGGCGCTCGTCGCACTTTCGTTTGGGTTGCTGTTAGCAGCGTACATGTACGCTTGTTTTAATGTGTGTACGAATACTGTTAACTCTGCCTATACCTCTTCTGTTAACTGCAGAGTTCTGCACACACACACATCAAATGTTCCCTCTCCTCTCTCGCTCTGTTGTATTGAATTTTCTGAATCGAAATTCAGTCATTTTTGACGCGCGCATTGAAACGGTACAAGTCACGGACGCTTGATTCCAAAGCATTTACAAGCGTTTGGTCCATATTCTGCTTCGGCTAACTTCGTGTCTCGTGCGTGCGTGCGTGCGTGCCTGCTGGGAGTGCTCGCTCGTGAGCGGACTACGTGATAAGGTGTGCGTGTGTGTGTTCGAGTGTGTGTCTCTGCCGTCTGCGTAACGGTGACGGTTTAATTTGAATTTCAAAATATTAATCAAAGATGCTGCTGCCGATCGGAAAAGCGCAGCCGAGCGAGTGAAAATACCAAATGGGGAGAATTTCTTGATAAATGACCGCAGATTATATGACAAAATCGTTCTCAATTTGTTTGTGTCGTCATCGTCATCGTTGTCGGCATCTTCAGTGGCCCTACTCGCCTCTGTATGTGCGTGTGCGCGTTTGTGCATGTGTTTGTCACAATTAATTAGCATTTAAATCGCTCATTTATTTACCAAGTAATTTCGTGCTCGGAAAACAGTCCAATAACAGATACAAGTGTTGGCTGAGGGCTCCGATTGGAACAAAAAAAGATCGAACGAACTAACGACAACCCGTCGACAATATTCGAAGTAAGTGTGTCAACGCATTTTTTGTTGTCCAACATCAACTTAAAAAACAAATGTACAATTATAAAAAAAAAACAAGCTCATTAGCATAAGCAAACAGAAGTGCAGAAAAATTAAATAATTAATTAAATGATGCACCAAATATACAAATAAAAACTGCTCCATAAAAGTAGAAATGTAATCTGAAAAGCCGTGCGCACATGTTCAGTGCAAGGGCGATAAAAAGTGCGATGAAAATTTACATTTACATGCCGAATAAAAAACAAAAGCAAATCAAGGCAAAAGAGTGAAAAAGAAGGCTACTGTGGACAGCGCCGGCGTCGCCTCCATTTAAAAATAAACAAATATTTGTATTAAAATAAACACGGACAATGGACACGACGCGGCGTGTCCCTTTTTTTCACATACAATACACGCCCCCGATTCCGTCCCCGACACTGCCACAGACCCATCACGAGCCATAGTGCGTGCCGCTATTTGTCTTTTTGGGTCGGGCAAGTGCGTCCAATTTTCCCGCGCAGTTAGCGAGATTTTCAACAGGCAGACGTATTGTTCAATTTCCACAAGTTTCGCTCAATTATTTACATTCTTGTTGTTTTATTTCGCCAGCGATTTATGGCACCAGTCTGAACCCTTTTGGGAGGTTCTGCGTGCATGGCCAAAAACTTTTCTTATCTCTCCAATGTCAAGTAATTGCCCCGTCGAGGAGACTTTTGGCCGAATTCCGAGCTGGTTACAAATGGATTTTGGGCATTGTTTACTGAAGGGTTTATGGATTACGGGCTTACATTTTTACTATCCTTGAAGACAATATACAAGGCAACTTTCGAGCAAATATTGTAGGCGAATATTTGAAGAAATATAAAACTTCAACTGAATTTTCGCTTAAATTGAATTCATTCGATTCCAACTTAAATGGCCTTTGCATCTCATTGAAATGAGTTTTGCATTTGTTCGGATAAGATGAAAATAGACAAGTCTCATAATTTGCCCATAATTCAAAAAAAAAAACGTACACGTGGGGACATCAATTTATAATTGAAGCTGATCTCCTGATCCGAATAAATATACTAGATTATATATTCGATAAGACTTCAAAAAAGCTTTGAACGAGCTTTATATTAATGGACGGATTTTAGATTAAACTAAACCTTTGTTATATTTCCATTGCCTTATTTCATCAGTTCTTTTATTTGTTCATGGGAACGGTGCTAAGCTTATTAATAAATAAATTTGATCTAAGCTAAAACCCATTCTTTTAGGGAAGCATATTAAATTGAATTTATTAGATATGGGCATATTTTTGAGGATCAGAGGATTATTTAATAAAATATGCATTTTATTTAAATGAAGCTATATGTACATTTTACAATAGGCTATAATTTATTACAAAGGAAATATAATCCTATTGTTAAATTATTTGTTTCTCCCATTGCCTTATTATTGTTTATTTATTTGTTAAACATTCTTGGATTGGAGAGCTTTATTATCATTTGCTCTACATTTTCAAAACAAATCATGAATCAAGCCAAGTTTTTTAAAATAAATAAACTAATTTCAAGTGCTATATTGTTTGGTCATATAGTTTGCAATTATTTTAAACATAATTGAGTCAAATGGCTGCCAAATCCAGCAAAAAGAAATCCCTGAAACATAGAATCTGCTATTGTAATGCATCATCTGCCCAACTACTTGACCTTTCATGGCTGCCTCATTACGAGCTAATGCTAATGAGTTGAGCATTAACTTGGCCCACGCAGGGCCCTTGACTTGGCCAGCATCCATAAACTAGACACTAATTGGTGGAGAAGACAGCGAAAACAAGAAACCTCTGTCTTGGGGCTAGGCAAGAGGAGAGGAGAGGAGAGCAGTCAGGCAACACATGATCCCAATTGTCAACGATTTAACGCATCTGTGCTGATCGGCGGCTATTAGCCCTCAGTCGGTCTGACCGCCCCCGCCCCCGCCATCTACGAATTAACCTTAGGAGTGAAAAAGTCAAGACACGCACGTCTGTTTGTGCGATAAATCTTGCGTTCTTGCCACAAACAAAATGAAAATAGCACATTTCCAAAATATTTTCATTAAAAGTGAAAATGAAAATGCTGTTAAAATAAAAAATTTACAATGTGTGAAGGCACAGAGAGAGGCTAGCAATATTTAAGCTGAAAAAACAGCAAAAGGCAACGCAGGCAGGCAGGCAGGCAGGCAGGCAACGACGAACGCAAAGCCAAAGCCAAAGCATAAACATTCATCAATCTGTCAGTTGGGGCTGGGACTGGTTCGGTATGGGAAAGAGCATGGGCTGTCAGCTGTTTTAAGCACCCACAAAGTGGTGTAGAGGCGCAAAAAACAAATACAACAACAAGCAGACAGACAGACAGACAGACGGACAGACAGAGAGACAGAAAAAAGTTGGGAGCCCAACCGACACTTTTCAATAAAAATTGACACGTGCACGGAGGACGTATGAGATACAAGTATATGTACACACTATTGGGAAAGGAAGTGGGAGAGGGAGAGGGAGGATGTTGAAAATGTAAATGTAAAAAATTTCATTTTGCCAAAGCACTAAATGCATTCCATCTGCTTTCTTTTGCTTCTAGGTGGTGCGTGCAGAGCAACAAATCGAGAAACAAAAGAAGCAAAGCCATAAAATCAAGCAAATCAAGACAGACAATAAGAGACAGAGAAACTTTGGCACAAAACGTGCGCCAATTGTCCAAAACGCCGCCGTCTTCCAATTCTAATTCCAATTCTATTCCGAATTCGAATTCGTCTTCATCTTCATCTTCATCTTCGATCGTGTGAAACTTTTCTATAGTGTTTCGTTCAAACTCCCACGCGCTTCGCCAACAAATTTAAGAAATTAGTACAAAAACAATCGACAGAGCGAGGCAAAATTAGAGACAACAGCAATTTGTCTGGAAAGTCAGACAGTCAGACAGTCGGACAGTCGGACAGTCGGGCTCGTACTATATACTTAGACATAGAAATTATCTGTGAGGCCCGACACCTTTGAGTGCACAAAGTGCGCGTATCTGGCAGATACATTTGGGCCCTTATTCTCTCGAGCTGTGCAGCTATTAGGCGCGAGTGTTGATTGATTTTTATGCACCGCATCATAAAGACACACGAGTACACTTCACATAGTCTTCCATTGCGGTCTGCAGCTGCCTGTGTGTGTGTGTGTGTGTGCGATTTTGTGAGTTAATGAAAATACCAATGCCGAATGTCAATGTTGTGAGCTGAAATGGCAGCCACACAGGCATAAAAATTACCGAACAAGCCCAACCAGAAAACCAACCCGCTAAATCACTCAACACATTCGAAGGCATCGTCGTAGTCGCCGTAGTCGTCTATATCGTCTATATCGTCTCCATCACCCCCAGACTTCTTCGTCTGTATCTGTGTGTCTGTGCGTCTGGCGATGCATTAGTCTGGGTAAGTTTTTGCCAGATTTTTATTAATTATTTTTACTCGCGCGACTGAAGTGGGTCGCTCGCTACATTTCCAACTAGATGACTGCCACTCAGTCATTTACAAGTGTGTTTATGTGTGTGTGTGTGTCTCAGACGTAGCGTGTGAATGTCTTGTTTTCCCTCTCGTTCCTATACACTCGCACTTTCCTTTCCCCACTAATATTTTGTTTCCCAAGTGCTGTGGTTGTTGTGGTTCACGCTCTTCCCGACGTGCTCATCCAAACTTTTTTTAACACTTAAGCAAATAGATTTCACTGTCGCGCCGCACTTATGGAATGTTTGTTGTACAACAAGCAAATTGATTGATTTTATTTGCACACACACACACACACACACACACACACACACAACCAAGTGAGTTTATGGGGGAAAGTACAAATACATCCCTCCAAAAGTACCCTGTTGTGCGACGGCCCAGTTCCCCCAGCATACCACTTCTTGATCACAAATTAAAGGGGAGAACTGCAAATACTCCATACTTTTAAGAATTGACTTGAGCTTCTAAGTATAACTGAATTGTTTTTAAATTAAGATTTGTTTTCGCATTATATTAATTCCGAGGCTTAGCTTTTCTCATCAACAAGGTCAGACTGGAGTCGGAAAAATAGATTGCAATCAAAGCGCTTTCCATTTCTAAATATTATTAAGAGAGAAAAAACAAGTGTTATTTGGTTTATATTCTTGAATCGTTTTTATCCATACTTGTGGATATACTTTTGGATGAACTGATGCAGAATTGAGAACAGCTACATTTTACATAGATAGCATTTACTTTTATTCTACTTGGTATTTATTTTAAATCCCATTATTAAAATAATGTATGTAATTTACTTATATATCCGTAATTTTCGAAAAACCGTGGAATAACGCAATCATATTTGAATCCGCTTGATTACATTTGAAACCAGTAACAACCTGTAAAAGCCGAATAGTAATCAGTTGCAATGACCCAAGACTATAGTTGTTATTCCATTCCTAAGATTGGGTGTTTCTGCGAATAACACACTGCCTTTCAATGCACTGTCCTTCCTGTTAGGCTTTAGTCATTAGACTTGGGGAAATAAGATATAAGAGCCAGAGCAAAGATTAACCAAGACGTATATCCAACGACGGATATTTGTAGACTCCATGCATGGAACAATCGATACGATTCTATCGATAAGCGTTGTACCAAACAGAGTGCCTTAATGATTTCAGCTTACATGGCTTTATAAATTTAATAAATTAATTAATTAAAGTCTTGGTGAACGAATATCGGAACCCGCAATTATCGAAGGCGTACTTGCACCCTCGAGCTGCAGGGTGTTGGTTTAGAGTTTGTTGGCCGTATCTGTGGTTTTCAGCAACCATCTTCTGGGGCAAATAACAACGGGAGTGCCTGACTGAGTGACTGTTTGACTTCGAGGTGCAATGCCTGACATTTTGTGGTCAACTCATTTACACAGTTTCAAGCAGCTGCGGTGCCATTTGCCCTTTCGCTCCTTGATGGACGTCCAATGACTTGGCTGCCATTGCTGTGCC